TGCTGTAGCTCAAATACGATGCCTCGGGATTTGACGAACTCTTGAAAAGTATTTCCTGCATCCAGTTGATTGTGAAGGTGTTTTTATGCAAGTACTTTTCGAGATGCTTGCAAGAATAGTAGCCAATAAACGAGAGATCCAATGAATATGGACGATGAAGTGAAACTTTGTGGGCCAAGTTCGTTCAATTTTCGAAGCGAATCGTGCAAAGTGTATCGTCGCTTGGCTGTGATTAAACTGCAGTTACTTTTGCACCAAGCTTTTCGTCTTTCCAGTTCGCTCCACATGGCATACGGCCGTAGACTGGTCACTTTCTCTGCAACATATTGTGTATTCTTAGAACGATCAGGTTCGATGATTGCTATCAACTGGTCATTGTCAATTCCCCTTGGCTGGCCATTACATTCCTTATCCCCAAGGGTTGTCGCGTCGATTACGAAAAAAAAAACTTCTTGAGTCACCGTTGAGCTGTACATTCGTTAACAGTTTTGTGCAAAATGCGCTGTTAATGTAGCGAATTATTGCTTTATTGCTGCTCTCTGCTGCTCTATGACCCATGCTGAACTCGCGGTCTGAACCAGCGATCACTTTTGCACCGATCAAAATTTTTCTCATAGTTTAGAATATATATTGAATAAACAGCAAATAAATTGCCATTAGCAGCAAAACATAAAACGGAAATTTTGCATCAAAATGTTATATAACATTACCGTATTTACCAGGAAACTCATTCCAATATCAAACGACAAATTTTAGTAATGCAACCAACATTGCTTTAGCAGCAATCAGATAATTCCTTCTTCAAATCGTTTAAACATTTGTAAAAACACTTTTGTTTTTTTCCTATTTATTTGTGGTAATTGCCTTTGTCGTCATTGATATTTTTGTTCTCGGTCACTTTTATATTTATAATTGGAAGTACTAAAAGTGAAAGCTTTTTGAAAAAAACCCTTTTTCCAGTGTCTCACATGCTGTTCTGATGTTGTGGAGCGGAACCGATTCATGGCTCCATGCTGATTGTTTTGCTAGCTTTGCAACTAGCATACGCCCAGTACACTAGCTATAATGGTATAATATTATAATTCAGCAATTTATAAGAAAATAATAATGGTTTTTTACTGAATCAACAATTAAGTTTCCTCATAATTTCTGTTGCTTCTACTTTTTTTCCAAATCTCAGTAATTCTAGCATTCGGTTTGTCTTTTTTATGTCTTCTTCATGATCGTTATAGAATACTGGTTATGTGAGTCTCCTTTCTGTCGAGGACAACCTGGCTGCGGCGTTCCATAGCACGTTGTTGACTACAACAAAAGGTTGTGGGGATAGGGGAGGGCGAAACTCATTTCTTGATCTTTTTCATCATATTTTATGTCATTCAGCTCAAGTTTCGAAATTCTAAGTATGTAAGCCTTGATCGAGGTCTTAAAATAGTCTGTTGCAATGATTGTTACATATGCTCAGGTAACACCATGGGCCATGCAATCGAAAATCAACCAAAAAGAACACCACGGTGATTGTTTCACTTTACATAGAGTGTAGAAATTTCGCCGTCGAATCCTCTATGGAAAGGTAGATTTCCGAAAAGCTGACTAAATGAGAAGGTACCGTGCGACTGTCGAGGCTGGATGGCCGATACACGTGTCATGGACTGTACAGTTGTCCATAGCAGACCTCTTGAAATACTCAAAAAACATTGTCAGGATACAAACTATTATGCTTTTGTATCTGTACAAAGTCTTTTTCTACTTTACAACGAATGCTTTGAATTTAAGTTTTGTGAAAGTCTCTCCAACGTTCCAATTGATTTACTCTGCTAAAGAAGCTACACAAAACTTATGTAAAGCGGTATACGAACCGCACAAAGATTTTTCACAACCTGACCGCGTACAAGCACAACTTCGTCAAAACTGGCTGCAACAGCTATCAAAGCGGCGTTATTTTGCAAAAAAAAAACGCTCATTCAAATATTACTCGTCTGATGTCGCAAAAAATTGACAGATCTACCATAGCAAACTGGACTTAATCGAATGGTTAACGCCTCATTAACGGATCGATCAGCAACGGACCCTACAGGCGATATTCGAAAAATCAATGCTAATAAGGAAGTAGAACAAGAAAAGCAGTGAAAGATAAGTCGCGTAACTTCTGCTTCGTGGTTCAAATGCAGCAGTCAGACTTAAATGGGACTAGAGCGAAACTGGAAACCTGCGATGACTCAAAGCAGTGCTGAGAGAAAGGCATAACGATTACCTCGTTGGTGCAGCGTGAAACTTAGTATGCCCCTGATAGGATAGTTGCGAAATCGAAGTCAAGTCAGTTTCCAAGCCTTGCTCGTATCTCAGTTTCTTTGGTTATCCCCAAGACTAACTATGTGTCAGCCTTGGCATTCCTCAATAATTCATTGATTTTAATATTGGGCCAAATACAAGGTTTTTGTAATTTTATCTCTTCAAACAGCTGAATTTCGCTGGTTTCAATTTTATCAGAGCTTGGAAAGATCAGGTTGCACAGAACCCAGTTAGCCGAACACACCCACTAATTCGTAGGGAAAGATCACCAAATCTAAAGTTAAATCGCATCAAGCACAAAATCAAATTTCAACATGACTCTTTTCATGACTTTTCCACTGATTTGTTCACGTGGAGGCCATCTGGCGTAGATCGTCTGGACTCGTAATGACCTTCGGCATCAACATAAGTCTTTATTACGTGTGGCTTATGAGGTATTACTCCCTACGGTTCACGCTTGGATCGGTGGTATTTATCCAGTACGAATCAAAAACCTTATGCGCTGATGCTTTATGTTGCTGTGCGAGGATGGTGAACTCTACTTCAAAATCGTTTCGTTATGTATTCGTATCTTATATGAACCCTAACGGGAATTTAGTTTCAAATTATCTTCGTCGTTTGGTTATATCAAAATAGAACAAAACTTAATGTACATCAAAACCGCTTTTTTTTTTCTTGTGCAGTCATCGACGTGAAATTTTGATTAATATCGGGTTATCCTATAAACACTTTTACACTAATTTTTTTCGACTTTTTTTATTCCACATCGGGTTATTGCCAAAAGTGTGGTATTTAAGCGATTGTTCCAGTAGCTTTAGCTAGGGAATAGTATACTAATATAACAAGATACCAGGGTACTAGGCTAGGATCTTGTCAGCCATACCCACCAGCTCAACCAAAGGCGAAGTTCCATGCTTGAGAGATCTGCTCTCGGTTTTCTGTGGTTAGCAAGGCATGCTATTTTAACTGTTCAACAACAGGCAGACAATCAATGGCGACTTCCACTGGGACGACAACGCCGGAAGCTAACCGCAGCAGGGCGAAAGAAGCGTCCGAATAGACTCAGTGTCACCTTTCTCCACTATAGAGCTCGACCTCACAATGCAAAGTCGACAAGACTTACTTTGGAGAGACTGATCTGGACCGGCTGTCACATACTCCGTATAGTCCTGTAGACCCGTGGGATAATCGTGTCCTCCGCACTTTGGAGGAGCATCTGCGCGATATGAAATTTGGAGACTAAAACTAGCTCAAAAGTGGTCTCACCAACTTCGTTGAATCCCAGCCTCAATGTTCTTGGGAGAAAAGCATCCAGTCTTCGTTTAACAATTATGGGACAGCCGAATATGATCCAATTTGTATCGGTTTCTTTTTTCTTCACTTTCACTATAACTGTTAGCTTAATATTTTACTGTATCACAAATAGGAAAGCTAAAGATTGGAGCTCACAATTAAGTTTTTGCAAGAAGAGTGATTAAGAGTAAAAGATCGCCTACAGATAGCTCTTCGGTGCTTCAACGTTCTTTCCAAACGGTGGATTCCTTTATTTGTATTGATTTATGTATCCTGTAAAATGCAAGTTTGTAGTGAAAGATTAGTACACTGTCATTCCCTCTACTCAGGATCTAGAACAGGGTAATTCTTTGATATTTTCCAACGTGAATTTGTATGGAGCACTACGGTGGCATGAACTGAGAGAGAATGAGGAGAGAGAGAAAGAGTTATAAATTAGAGTGTTTTTAAGTAATGATCATTTGTCATTACATGATCAAACAGCTTCATTACTAGCACAATGTTTGGAGAAAGGAAATTATGAAAGAAAAGGCTGCCTATTTCGCTGATTTTGCTTTATTTCGACTCACTTTCATAAAATTCTCCAATTTGAAGTCGTCTCTTCTATGCATTAACCTGAAGATCGGCTCTAAACGAGGATTTGGCCTTTTAGCACCATCACCATGCTCGGCGTTTACTGGCCCATGCTGTTTGGACTACGCTCAAATTATCCGTTGCGGGCGAGTTGGTTCCTCTATGATGACGAGAAGTTTCGTCGATCAGAGGCACAGGAAATCGTGAACATGTGGAAAATGTAGAAGAGACTTTTCTCAATCATTTTACTAGTATGAGTAGTACGTGCGCCATTTGTTGCAAAACGTTAATGTGGTCCATCATACAAACACTATGCTGTTAGTCGAAAGTCTTTCTCAAAAGATCGACTGTTTTTGAGACCCCCAAAAAAAAATTCAATATAATTTCAAAAAAAGAATGATTTAAGCTCAAAAACAGTCGATTTCTTGATATAGTTTTGATCTAACAGCAAAAATCTATCGACTGAGAGGTGGTGATGGTACTGTGTCATAGTACACTGTGCCATCACCACATACGCCTCCCTCCTTGCTTCAATGCAGGGCTGAATGTGGGGCGGGGGTCACTGATGAGGAGGACGAACCTCCGAAACACCGGTGTATGACCCTGGGCGTACCAACCCCTTTTTTGAGCTTAAATCATTCTTTTTGAAATTATATTGAAAGTCTTTCTATTTTGACTGCCACTTGCAGTGGTATGATCTTATAGTATACCCAATAAGTGGAGTACTGTGCAAAAACGTTGCGTCAGCCGGGATTCGAACCCAGATCTCACTCTTTCCGGGAGCGTATGCTAACCGTTGCACTACTGACGCGTTGTAGCGTAAATAAGAGTGCTGTGCAAAGCGAGCGTCGATAGTGCAACGGTTAGCATACGCTCCCGGAATGAGTGAGATCTGGGTCCGAATCCCTGCTGACGCAAACGTTTTTGCACAGTACTCCACATATTGGGTATACTGTGCTGTTAGTAATTGAATGTTGCTTGCAATTACATAGTGTATTGCACAATGTCTAATATGAAGCACCTTTTGTATTCGCATATTCCTTAGAATAGTAATGATTCGCTGTAGCGATTCAGGGTGACGTAACAAAATTGCTGAGAGCTCATGAGTGCATAGAAAGTGGTAGTTCTCAAGGTAGTAAAAACATGTGTTCTGCTCAGTCGACTCTTCTGTCCCGTACACTCAAGTTGACTTCACGGGTATAATAAAGAAAAGACGCTACTCTTGGAAGATACAACAAACCAAATAAATATTATGGAAAAACAATGAGAAAATAAGAATGAGAATGATTATGATGAAAATTTGCACAAACACTTTATTTTGAAGCGGTGGCCGGTCGATTACCGGGTCGTTGCCTGGCTGGCGACTTCGACTGTGGATTCGGTCGTTGCGTATCCATCACTATGTTCCACGATGGCAAGCCCGATTGCCCTGACGGAAGTGATGAATGTGAGCATACTTATGAAATATTTAACGAATTCCACGGAAAATTAAATTCTTTCATTGTGATAATCTTGGTTCCAACTAACAGCCCGGGGAAGGGAAAAAATAAAAGCTTAGTTAAACAAGAACGTTCTGAACTACTAATTTTTGCGCAATAATCATTACTACTGATTTAAATATCTCTTTACAGGGTGTTTTTTTGGTCAAATCAAATGCGGTGCATATTGCGTTGACATGTCGCATGCAGTTAATTGTCTGTTCTCATCAAAATGTGACAACACGAACGGTCAGCCACCATGGTGTGCAATATCAAGTCAGTTTTGTTTGAGCTATCTTCAACCAGATGGAAAAAATTGACATATCAGAAAAAGGCCTGGATATTATTGTAAAGAAGAAGGCGACATAAACCTTTATAGAGGAAAAAATCTGTGGGGATCCGAGTGCATTTCCATGCAAAGGATATGGCGAATGTGTGCTATGGCCATGGTTGCTTGACGGAAAAAGGCATTGTATCGACGGAAGTGACGAAGGTGAATAATCTTTTCGAGCAAAATTTATGCTCAAATCATTGAACACATAGCTAGCAGACCGTTAGATTTGCGTTTGCCGAAGCTAATTAATTATGTGTGTAATTTTCAACCGTGTTTGCAGCTTTATAGATACCATAGCGAGTTCAGTATGTGCATTGATTTCTATACAGGCTTTCAATCAATACAAATGTGTAGTGCGCTCTAACATCTGCTATAACAGCTTACAAATACTTCGGTTCTTTTCGGTTACGAGGGAACAAATGAATATTTGACCTTATTCGCTGTACAAGAATTTTTCAGAGGGGTGTTAGCAGTCATTCGAAAGCTCGGATCTCCGGTTAGAGCCGTACATGGTCGGCTTTAAAAAGACCCGTTTATTCCGCCGTGACATCTAGAATTAAACTATGCTTCACATCGGTCCCGCAATTTAACTATTGCTCCGCTGGAAGCACGAAAAGCACATGAACGTGTGGAGGAAACCTTAAAGTCTTAGAGTCAGACGTTTGATCTAAAGTTTCGAGAAACAGGTCCTGATTAAATAACAAGAATCGTAGTTTCCTATGGTTCGCGAAAGGGCCATTCGGTTGTCAGTAGCGGTTGAAACGGTCACATCCGCCCTGTGCATCACTCCCACCCCATTGAAAAGCCAAAATCATTTTACCCGCGTACATGAATTTGATCTTATTTTCCCTGCTGTGTTGCAGAGAAACGGTCTTTCCAGAAAAAGCGCAGCGTTGAAATTCTCGAATCCCACGCTAGCTAATGATTACTATTAGTCTAAAAAAAGCTCTGTCAGGCGAGAAATATGCGCATGTGTAACATAATTTTATTTTGAATTTTACAGCGTTACAAACGGGTCTTACCAAGTACGGTTTTCGCCAGAGAGTCAAGCTTTTGAATAATTGCTAGCACTCCCATGAAAAACTTTTGTACAACGAATGAGGTTGCACATTCATCTTTTCTTCTGAATCTGAAAAGTACCAATATTTTTTTTTCAACTAAAGGAGCATCTTCATTTGGTTGCCATGTAAATCTGCTTTCTAATTTAGATCAGCTCTACGTCAAAACGTTGGAAACGTCATTTCGGTGTTACTATAATCGAACGAAACAAGTTGTTATGCCTCCGCCGCTCAACTATACCGACAGATTTTTAAAACCGCTTCATCGAGTTGTTTTACCTAGTATTCGGCCACCTCAGCACCCCACATTATTTCCAGCACCTCTTACACCATTCACCCTTCCGAATATGTTTCTGACTCCACCACCCTCGTTTCAAGTACCACCTCCTGTTCATCTTTCTAAAGTTACAGGTTTACCAGCATTGCCACCACCATTTCCTACACTAGTTGTTAAACAATCAGTACCTGTACCATATTCGCCTACTAAGGAGACAATATCTGTGCCTGATTTGCTCACAGCTCCTGATTACCCATTCGATGCTCCAATCCTCCAACAAACTACCTCTTCTTATTCACAAAATCCTCCCGATTTTCCAGAAAACATTATTCATATCAAACATGGTGCACAACCATTATACTCTACCATGTCCTCTGACAATCATCTATCTGCCCCCAGCTCTTCCCCAGTTGAGAACCCGGAAGGAATACTTACAAAGCATGGCTATGGTCATATCAGAGGACGTATGAAATCGACAACAGCATCACCTTCGATAGGTAAACTCACTCATATTCGGGTTGTTGCCGGAGGTAATGAGGCTGGTAACCCACAAGGAGAAAAAACGCGTCATTGATGCATTTGGAGAAAAAGGACACAAATCATCTGATAAAGAAAGTGAGGATACTGGAAAAGCAAAGCCATTTTCAAAACTTGGTCATACATCTGATGAAAATACGGGTAACATAGGTATCCTTAGACAGACGTCTACTCCATTCTTGATCAGTGGGACTCATGAAATAGGTGATCAACAGTTGGTGCCCTTTCCAGAGTTTGATGGTTCTATCAATTCTAAATTTTTAACAACAGGAAGCTCTCTAATTGATTCTACTGCTAAAGAGCAACATCTTGGTATGTCACACGCTACTAATAGGAAAAGTCAGTTACACACCACCATGTTGCCATCAGGATCAAAAGCTGGTTTTACTGACGATGAAGATAGCGACCTTTTGTACACAGACACCACTACTTCTCCAGTGGAAACGGAATCATCAAAAACAGAGAATTCTGTTGATTTCAAGGACGAAAATACCTGCTTAATGGAAATGATAAACATGTCCAGAGACCAATACCCATATCTTGAATGCCAATGCCCAGTTGGAGAAATGTTTATGGATGGACATTGTGAGAGTAAGTTTTTTTTATGTTTGTATTATTATTTCGTGCAAGTTAGCACTAGCCTTGGAAACGGTTGAAGCAATAGGGAAAATGTTCTAAGTAAATCTAAAATCTAGTAAGACTTTAACCGAAGTCGCAAACTATCTCGAGTTGGGGAAAGCGATTGCTTTACACTGCATTAATACACTCTGTTATTTTATTAATCTATGCATCTTATGTCTAACATCGTTGAACAGTTCGTGGAACAGATACTCTTCATCGTATATATAAATATATATACTTATTTAATTAGTTATTTATTTATTTGTGTATATGTATATGTATACATATATATGCATATACATAAATTATATATATATTTCTATAGTTTGGTAGAAAACTAGCACAACAATCATCACAGATCGCGAAAACGATCTAGCTTTCTACAAACTCGACATTCGTTCGGTATGTGGGAAGAACCGATTCACTACAGAAGAGAAAAAGTGGATAGCGATACAAAAGGTACAGTTTTTTCTAACGTTTATGAGAACTTGCAGAAAAATGAATTAGTATTGATTTTCAGAACGACAATCACTAAATTCTTTCAGATAGGTGAAACGATTACAGTTCCATCGTGTGTCAGAATGAGCTCAAATGGTGAAGCTGTGGTGAATTCGTTATGCTATCCAAGATGTAATCTTGCAAATATTCGCAGGTCTTTGGTGGAAAAACCGGACAGTAAAAGGTTGCTTAGTGTTGAAGGTAAGGTTCGAATACTGCTGATAGTGCCGGGATCACTTAGATTCCCATATGGGAAGGAAAAAACGAATCCAATGGATTTATTTATGCTGTGATTATTCACTTTTCATTGAACAGTATAAGAAATTACACCTCCTACAGCATATTGCTAAGTCTTTCATGAGGTCTATTATGGCACTTCATGAAAGGCGCTCTAACAAGCAAACGGCGATCAACAATCAAACACTCTGAGATAGAGCCACGATCATCTTTTTATCGTGCGTTGAGTGTAAATAGTTTAGCGTCGATTTTTCTACAGAGGGGTGTATCCCCTAATGAACTGACTTAACCGAAAGGCATCTTGCTACTGATGAGGCTGAAAGACCGAGACATGTGTTTAGCACTTTACAAGCGCTATAACAGAGCTCATGAAAAGCTCAAAATACCCTGTCAGGATGTATTAATTTTGAGCAATGTATCCTTTCATCATTATTTGAGCCAACATGTCATGTGGTCTGCTAAGGGCTCTTGTACAGCCGGAGACACGTGTTTCGTCCTTACAGACTCATCGCCGGGCAGAACCCGTCGTCTGTCGATCTTTTCATAGTCAGTTCTCTCGGGAGCGTCACACTCCTTATATATAGTTATCGACGACGTACGCTTTACACTCTATGTCAGGTGAAACATTCACCTAACACAGAGTGTTGTGCACTCGATTGCTCATTGGCTGATACTTTTATCATTATACCTTTATCTCGAGTGGTTTGTTTAGACCACGCTCAAATTTCAATATATCCTTTCATCATTATTTGAGCCAACATGTCATGTGGTCTGGTAAGGGCTCCTGTACTGCCAATGAGCAATCGAGTTCCGCGGGTTCTGCCCGGCTGATGAGTCTGTAAGGACGAAACACGTGTCTCGGGCTGTACACGAGCCC